GAGGCTAGACAATTGGACAGCTGTGGTGACGAATCAAGGTTGATGGAACGAAAAGAAAAGCAAAAAGATTGCAGATTTGAAAAGGTATAATCTTATCACAATTTCTATCTAAACACAAAGGCGATTTTTGATGGGAATCGAAAATTATTTTAAATTCCACTGTGCATGTATAAGTAGATTCCCAACAAGGATGAGAAGAACCCGAATGGAAAAGGGTAGTTTTGGAAATGTCTGGTTTACTACACAATTTAAGCTGCCACAAACTACCACTTACTTCAGAAAACAGGAAAGCCTCATCAACGCAAAGGTCTAAATTGCCCTTCAACTTTAACTTTTTTCCAAGTTTGGATACAAAACCATCATTGAAGAGGATTCAGGAGTCTTCCACCCAAATTATTATTTTCCAAATGCAACTCCCTTACAAATTCTAATGTCCCAAATTCCTTAGGCACTGTCCCTTCAGGTTTGTTGTTGTCATGCCCTAAATAACACACATTTCTCAAATGCTCCCCCATCGACGCCGGAATATTCCCAACGAGTCCCATCTCGGAAAGTCCTATTCCCAAAATGCCCTCGAGGTTCTCCCATATTTCTGGAATCTGCCCTCCAAGAAAATTCCCACTTAAATGCACTTCCCTCAAACTTTTCATCTCGCCCAAAAACAATGGCATTCCAAAATTACCAAAATTGTTGTAACTAAAGTCTAAAAATTCTAGCTTGTTTAAACCTTTCAAGTTTTCTGGGATTTTCCTGGAAAATCCATTGAAGCTCAGATCAATCTTTAACAACTCCATCAAATTTCCATTGGAATCTGAAAATTTACCTTGAAACCCATTTACACTTAAATCGAAAATCTTCATTATCTTTAACTTTACGAAAAAAATTCGTTGGAATATCACCTTCAAATTTGTTACTTGAAAGAGAGAGCTGTTCCACGTTCACTAACTCAGTTAAACAACCTGGTATTTCATCAAAAACATTGCTTCCTGTCAAAATGAACCTTTTTAAACTGCTTAAATCGCTTAAATGGTCACTGATTGAACCATATAAAGCTGGGTTTTCAATGAAAATGAGTTCTTCTATAGTAGAGTTTCGAGAAGATAATGGAGAGAAATCAGGGAATGGGATTTTCATTTCAGTGAAGCATTCGTAGAAGAACTGTTTTCTTAAGTGAGTGACTGGAGAAAAGAGAAAAGGGTCAAGAGTAGAATTGGAATTGCAAGGTGGATTCGTAGAGTAGTCTGATACATAACCAAGGCTCAGCTCAGTAATGTGGGGAGTGACGGAGGTGGCGGACAACGACGTGGTGTCGGAGAAGTATTCACAGACGACGACGTGTGGGGTGGAAATGCAGAGGTCATCAGGGAAATTGTCCACCATGAAACCTCCGAGTTGATGGATTCAAGAACTCGGCAGACTGATTTTTGCTCAGCCGAGTCAAGTGCTGGCTGTGAAATGACAAAGCTAGCGGCAAAAAAGCTTAATAAGATGAAATGTAGCATAATTGCTCCATTGCCACTGCTTCGAATGTACAGTTCTTTGGTGAGTTGTTGGAAGATGGTTGTTTAAAAATCAACAAATCAATATAGGAAATGAAAATACGAGAAATTGGCCGCAAAAGGACCACCNGAGAGAGAGAGAGAATATTGATTCTAGTTTCAATTTGTTGGGCATGTGTATGGCAATGAATTGATTGTTGGGAGGTATGGTTAATTGGTAAGATTTGGTCTAGTATTTTAAGATATGGTTATCTCACGCCTTGCTGGCAGTCGCAATGTGGGGGTTCGATTCTTGATACATGGAATTGGACTCCTTTGTAGACTCAGTGTACATGCAGCTTTTGTTCCATGATCTACTGGGGCACATCCCGCTATTTACCTCCCTCACAAAGCTCTAAAGGCGGGGCGGTGGGGACCCTCAAGGTTGTGATTCAATTTTTAGATTTGGTCTAGTATTTTGATTACACATACGGTTTCCTCAACTTTATCCCATTTACCCACTATCTCCACACGTTTTCACCATCCTATAATTCTAATTGCACCAAAACTCGTCACACACACATATAGACATACTCATGTGCATGACAAATTCAAAAAGGGATATTTATTTCCAGCATAAATAAAGCACAGAAAGAGTCCCATAATTTTACCAAAAACATATATACATAAGCAATCGGCAGAAGACAGACTCAAATTTTTTAAAAGGCAGCTAAGAAAATTAAAAGATTTGGAACGCAATTTTTGGATTTCATCTTTAAGAATTTATTCAACCTTACAAGGTAGGCTATCAAAGTGCAGTGTTTTATGTCCAGTTTAATTATTTTTTTGGGTTAATTTCACAAACAGTCACTGAACTTACAGAAAAATTACAAAATAGTTACTGAAGTTTAAAACTTTCAGTAACGGTCACTTAAGTATTGGGACGCTTTCAAAAATGGTCACTGAAATTTAAAAATTTTTGAGCTACTTTTGCGACAATTTTTCGACCACTTCCGACCATCGATACCACCGGACTTTGATACTGTTGGAAAGCCTACAATGTCCTCTTAAATTACAACAAAAAATCTCCCCCAAAATCCAAAGGATTTGGCCGGAATAAACCCACAAAGTTGGCTACCCGAAAAGGCAAAAATCTGTCCAAATTTTCAGATTTTTGGTGGACTTTTACGACGATTTTTTGACAACTTCCGACCACCAAAATAGCTAAATTTTGATACCATTGGAAAGCCCACAATGTCCTCTTTAATTAGCATCCAAAATCTTCCCAAAACTCCAAAGGATTTGGCCGGAATAAACTTACAAAGTTGGCATCCCAGATTTGCGCCTTTTTGGGATGTCGATTTTACGGGTTTATTTCGGCCGAATCGTTTGGAGTTTGGGGGGAGATTTTGGATGGTAATTGAAGAGGACATTGTGGAATTTCCAACGGTATCAAAATTTGGCGGTCTTGGTGGTCGAAAGTCGCTAGAAAATTGTCGTAAAAGTCGTCCAAAAATATGAAAATCTGGGCAGATTTTCAGAATTTTTGGGGCAATTTTTGCTGTGATTTTCCCGTCAAATTCCTTGGTGTTACGGAGAGATTTTGAGTGGTAATTGAAGAGGACGTTGTGGACTTTCCAACGGTATCAAAATTCGATGGTATCGATGGTTGGAAGTAGCCGAAAAATTGCAGCAAATGTAACAAAAAAAAACTAAAAAAGTGTTTTTCAACTTCAGTGACCATTTCAGAAACTTTTTAAATTTCAGTGACCGTTTTTGAAGGCGTCCAAATACTTAAGCGACCGTTACTGAAAGTTTTAAACTTCAGTGACCGTTTTGTAACTTTTCTATAAGTTCAGTGACCATTTCTGAAATTAACCCTATTTTTTTTTTTACACGTTGATGACTTTTGTACTTATGAAACTTAAAGGTATGATATGGAATGCTATGATATGAATGATATGGTCATTTTCGGTACAATGATATGGCATGAGCTCTACCGGATTTTAAAGATATGAGACGGTATGATATTCTAACATGTGTTTAAAATTATTATTCGGGCTTGTACCATTGAAATTTTATATCCAGTGAGTATTCACATATACTCACCATTTCCCCTACTCCTCACATGTTAGATCAGGTCATTGGTCGGCTGGTGATGAGGTGCAATCGTTGGGCTAAGATTTATGAGACTAAATAAAATAATTCAGTGTAACGTGCCTTAAATTCTAAATTTTAGCAGTAACCTTAGATTTTTTATTTATTTATCAAACTTGTTCATTAAATTTAAAATATGGGACTTAGTTTTGTTCGGACACGTAATTTCAGATGATGATTTGAAATTTTAGCTTGGTTGGGGTATTTTGTGTTTTCCTTGTTATTCAAGTTTAGTATAAATAATTACGTTGAGTGGATGGAGCAACTTTGGAAATTGATTTACAATTGCCATACATGTCTAATAAATGCAATGTACTATAATGATTTAAAATGGGTGAATCTTCATGTCACCTACTGAAGATATATATATGTGTGTGTGTGTGTGTGTGTGTGTGTGTGTGTGAGAGAGAGAGAGAGAGAGAGAGAGAGAGAGAGAGAGAGAGAGAGAGAGAAATAAAATGATTGAAGTGTGTACCTTTTTATCTATATCTATATCTATACCTATTTTTTATGCATGTGCAAAAATATTTTACTATCTACCTCAATTTTCCTTTAAAAAAGAATTAAATTATTGCTAAATTGTATGTTTGTATGTATTTACATTTGTAGACTTTTTAGAAATACTTTCCTTAGAATAAATTTTATGTTTAGCCACAATAATCACTAAATTATTTAGTTACTAGATTTTTCAAAATGGGTGAAATTTTATAATAGTCCATGCACTAGTATGTGATATTTTCTAGGAGCTAAAATTTCGATGTAATCCCCGTGTAAAAATAAATAAATAAATAAATAAATTTTGATGATATACAAAACATTGGATTTTACATGTTTTAAATGTTATGTGTGATAAAATGTTTATTTGTTTACCTGTTTCCTTGCGTAATGTTTGTTAAAGGTTAATATTTGTCTAAAAGTTTATGAATTTAAAGATAAAGTAATTTAAAGTCATTAAATATGTGAATGATCTTTGGCACTCAACGACCATCCTCTGACGGCCCTAAAGTATGTAAAGGGATAACAAAATAAATGTACTTAGACATTTGGCATAATTTAAATATTTTAAATTGCATATCTTTAAATTTTTAAGGTTATTTTTTTCTTTTTTTTTCTCTCGTTAAATTTATGATATGCATACGAAAAAATAAGTTGACTTGTTAGACTTAGTACTAGAATGTGACTGATAACTTCAAATTAAATTTTAGGAAACGACACTACCTACTCACACGAACTTGATGCGCAATTTACTACGAGTGGTACAAAAACTGAGCAGATAGAGCCAAGCACCACCACCACAGAATGCACCGCTATAGCAAATGTACCTCCATTTGTCCCGGGAGCCGTCTCAGTGGTTGAGCAGCTTCGTAGGTACAAACCTCCGACTTTTGATGGTGGTTTCGACCCATTGGCTATTGAGGAGGGGATTAGAAGTTTAGAGTGCATCCTTCGACACACCACTTGCACGGATGCATAGAAAGTGCTATGCACAGAATTTATGTTTGTTGGAGCAGCTAGTCACTGGTGGGAATTTGTCTCAGGCACTAGGATGGAAGAGCAACAACGTAACTTGACTTGAAAGCAGTTTAAGGATGAAGTGATGGTAAAATATTTTCCACAGGCTTTGAGAGACTTCAAGGAATCAGAGTTTCTGCAGCTCAGGCAGGGAGACATTTCGCTCACTGATAATGAGAGGCAGTTTGAGCAGCTCTTAAGATATGTCCTGCATTTGGTGGATACCAAAGTTAAGAAAATTAGGATTGCGCCCAGAGATCGGCATGATCATTATGTCCCATCGTTTCACCTTATACTGTGAGATGTTGGAGAGAGCCCATACTATTTCATATCAGAGGACCACGTTTGGATAGTATATCCAGCAGTGCAAGGTGTCATTGGAAAAAAGAAAGTGGAGTGATCAGAATAACAACAGATGTAACTAGCAAAATAAAAGGCCAAGCACAGGAGTCCATACTGGTGGGACGAGTGGGAGTATTACACCCTGTCCTAAGTGTAATAAACTCTTCAGGGGTGAATGTTTACTTGGGAAGAACACGTGTTTTCGATGTGGTAAGTCGGGACATATTGCTCTCAACTGCATAGAGCTTCCAAAGAAGAAAGATGATGATCAAGACAAGAATAAGAAAGCAAATGCTCGAGTCTTTGCACTGAATCAGCATGAGGTGGAGTAGGATCTGAATATGATTGCAGGTCTTTTATTATTAATATTTTCAACATACATGCTTATATATTTTTTTTTACTTAGGACCATACATTATTTTATCTCTGTCCCTTGGTTGTTAGTCTAACATTATAATTACAAAAATAGGTATTATGTTATTGTCTGATGTACCTGCTTACGTACTTTTTGGCACTGGGGTTGCAAATTCTTTTATCTCCATATCCTTCGTTATTAGGTCAAACTTTGCACGTGTGAAAACGAATAATGAATTAGAGGTTAGCATCCCTTCAGGAAGAACTCTTT